ACTTGTTGATTCGCCGCCAAGACTGCACACATACAAACACACGCACGCACACACACGCACACACACACACACACACACAAACACACACACAAACACCAAAACCTCTCCACATTTCCACCACCCTTCTTAATGTCTGACTGCTGCCTTCTGTTTCCTTCTCTTGCCTGTCTTCTCTGCTTACACTATCTTCAGTTTACGCTGCCTAAGCTTCACATTGTTCTTCGTCAATCTTCTCGTTACTTTTGGCTATTGATGCATCTTTTTCCGAAGCGGTCGGGAGATCATCCTGGCAACATCCAATCCATTCTGAATGAAGCATGTAATTAAAATGCTACCTGAGCACCATCCTATCTGTAGAAATGTGCTGTTGACTACAGATTATAAATATACACAGTATATGAGAAGTCGGGGCTAACCCGATAATAAATACCTTTTAGTACAGCGAAGACTTGTTTAGAGTACATTACTAATGAAATATGGTTTTTGAATGAATCCACAAACGGAAATAGTGTATTTTTATTTCCTAAACCCACAGTGCAAACATCTAACTAAATTATTCTGTCATGCATCATTTCATTTTGGTTACTGCATGTGAGTTTTAATGATGCACTGTATATGTATCTGGCCTCCCACTTGCATCTGTGATTCATTTTGTTTGGGCTCACTCAGTGTGCCACCAGGATATAATGACTTGTTTCCTGAAGATTATTTGGGGGAATCCGTCAACAACAGGAAGGTTAAATACATCAGTCAGACTGTGGGGCAGTGTGGTATATCTGGGAGTTATTCACTGTATATAAACAACATGCCATGTAACTGTGTCTTTGGCACTTTGCTTATCATGCCCTCTCATTGTCAACACAGCCCCGCCAACTTATTCCTCAACACAAATTTAATTACAATTTAGTATGCTGGGGATTGTGGAAAGTAAGTAAACTTTAGAAGGGACTCAGGGGATTTGTCTCCTGAGGTCTCTTTGCAATAGTTTTCGCAGATGATTTTTCGTCATCATGTTTGATAACTTTTTGGTAAGGTTATCTGTTTAGTATGGATCATCATGGTTCTGTGCCCAATTATGACACATCAGTGTAATACTTAAATAGAATGCATCACATACCGTAACTAATACAAATATAATTCTGTCAAACAATGACGGTTTCATATGCTCTGATACGCACACAAGTCATTACTCAAACAGACTCAGCTGAACACAGAACTTGACTTAGAGGCTCAGCGGCAGCAAGTAAAAGTGGTGTCAACATGGACGCTTTGGAGGATTACATGTTTTTCAGTGTTAAATCAACCAGTTAACACAAATGCATAGAAAAATGAACACTAGCATTATGACATTATATATTAATATTTGGGACTTATTAAGGACTTAATTAAGCACAATGATGTTGCTATGAGCAAAACAAATAACAGAATATTTCTGTCCACCTGTAGTGTCCCGCCCACTGCTAAAATGAAAAGAAACTGCCCCTAATAAGCAAAAGTAAGAGTTTGTCCCAATAGTCCAACAACACAGAGTTATCGTATAATCCAGTACGGATTGTAAAAGCTACGAGCCATTAGGCAAGCCAGGGGAAAGAAGCAATGACAGTGACAGCTTTTTAGCATTTAGTTAATGCTAATACTTGATTTTCATCTTATATACAGTATACTATTTCTAGAAATTTGTGACTGGCACTGATTTCTCTTTCAAAAGGTCAATGAATTGTGAAACGGTTTGCCCTCCTGATGACCCTTTGCTCCTGTGTTGCAGGTAGTGTTTGATAAACTAAGCCTGGGCTTTAAATCCAGTCTTAACCTAAGAGGTTAGGGGCTCCTTATCAAGGCATTAATTATGAACTGCCCCTCTGTCTGGAGCAACAGACTGTGCTTGGTCTATATTTTTTACAGAAGGAAAGATCGAGGGATGAAATGGGTGCTATAAACCAACACAAGCCGGTGATTTGAGGCTTATCAAGCGGGCTGCTGTCAGTGTGGGGAGAGGTGAGGTCAGGAAATAAATGAAAGCATAGTCTAAGCTTTTCACATAACTACATTGTATCTTGAGTATTGATATATCTCTCAGGTCAACTAAACCGATTTAAAAGCTATCTACATGAGCCATGCCGGCTGATTTTGTGTGGCCAGTAGAAACACACAACACAGGAACATAAAACCGCTGAATCAAAAGTGGCACACAAAAATCCAACAACATGAAACTCTAAAGGATTACTGAGGGGGTGTTGCAGAGTATTTGCAGCAACAGAATGTCCTACATATAAATAGAGAATGATATGTGTTTGTAAGTCAGACACCTCAAACAGTGGCTTTAAATTTCATTTACACACTGTGCACTACTTACCAATGATGCTTTGGTTTTTCTTCCTGGGCCACCATGAAGTCTGTACCCTTTCCCTGAGGATGAGTATTCGATTATTATTACGCACTCTCAGGGCTCCTTCAAGAGGATGATGGACAACTGTCATATCTTTCTCTAGCCTTTCTGCTTCAAAGCAAATGTTTTTTTACCACAATGACGGATTAAGAGAGTCTGAAAATCAATTTCTGTATGGAACCTGATTATGTAATTCTCTCTATGAACAAGGAGAGTAAGATCAGGCAGGAAACTTCAATCTGACTACTTCATATATTCTACTGTGTCCTGAATATGCTGAATTAAGTCACTATTTTAACGGCAACTGTAAAACGTGAAATAAAAGAAAATGCTCAAGGGATCTTGTCTGCATTTGATATATTTAGTGTCGAAACCTAAACGTTATCTATAAAAATAATGTACTCGCAAACAAGATTCTACAAGATATATTTTCTCATTAGCTTACATGCTTCAGATTTCACATTCGTTTTTTCACACGCTCTGCAAAAGCGGTCTACCTTTGTTCTGTTTTCAGCCTCCCGTCTTCCTCTGCATTTGTACTTCTTACTGGGGAAGACCCACCTCTGAAATCCCAGAGGTGTGCGCCTGAGTGTCTGCACTATAACTCTGAGTCATCATAATACATCTGCTCCCATTCTCTTTGCCAGCTGTCGTTCCACTGCCTACACTGCATCATCCTCTCTCTCTCTCTCTCTCTCTCTCTCTCTCTCTCTCTCTCTCTCTCGATGGCACAGCACCAAGAGTGTAGCTCACTCCGGTATTATCTCTGAAACAAGAGCTTGTAATGAACATTTGAATACGCATGCACGATTTGTCATATTTTTCGTAGATTACCAAATTTCATAATAATAATCAAAGCTAAAAGACCCCACTTACTTGCTTTCGGAGGTTTCAAGCGTATTTCGTATTTCAAAGTCTTCTTCAGTGAACGGAGCTGGCTTCGTTGTCATCATGATCTATGTGTGGGACTTCAGTCACAGTGGCTTTCTTGAACCTTCTCTGGCCGTCCACTGATTTTGATGACCGTTGACCTGCTCTCAGTCGATCCTGTGGCCGGTTTTCTGTTTCTGATGAACATTCAGTCTCTTGTCCAGGGTCATCCTCATCCACTTATTAAAACAAATAGTTCAACAATAAATGGAAAATATCACATACAGTATATGTTTTTTAAATAATCATTCAATATGGGTCTGAGTAGAAAAGTGGAGGTCACACAGATCGCCTAATTGATCAGACTAAAGTGCAAACTTGCATTCTGATTAGACCAGCACAATCCGACTTAAGAGATATCTGTACAGTCTGCACTACTCCTAGGATAGACTTTCTTCTCAACTTCACATGCCCATCCATCACTATTCAGGTGTGAAATCCTTCCAAGCTAAAATATAACTGAACAAGTCTGGTTCATGCTTTTTGTTTGGATTGATGAGAGCAGTGAACAGCTTGACGTGGCTACTGAGCGATACTCAGGATTTTCACACTTTGATGAATGTGGAGCCTCTAGAAGTGATACCGCTTGGATGCTGAAATGCTGCCACTGTGGCCCGACAATCCGGGCATAATAGCATAATTTGGCAAACTCCCTGCGTTTACCGGGTTCAAATACTTGGTTCTGGATGCATATTTGCCTTGTTGAGCACACTGACCAGTGTTGATTTAAGTTAACACTGTTTATTAGAGGACTAACGCCAAGCGCGTCTTCATCAGAGTCAAACAGTACAGAAACCAGCATTCTCTTAGGGACAATGAGCTGCATGTAGGCAGGGTTCACAATTATATAATAATAAAAAGATACAAGGAAATATATAAATTGTTATATAAGTCATGTATCAAAATATAAGTAGGGCTAAGATTAATAAATAACTTATGAAAACGATATAAATTTGCCTATTCAATATCTAAATATCTTACTTAATAGCTCAATACCACTCCCCTTATAACTCCCTAAGCATAAGCTGGGAGAGAGGGCAATAATTACTATTCAAATTACCTTTTTGGAACATTTGAATGGTTACTGATGCAATGACATAAATAGATATTTATATATTTTATTTTCTATTTTTATCATTCTATAATTGTGAACCCTGCCTACATGCACCTTATTGTCCCCTCCCTATTTTTCCAGCCTGTGTTGAATTAGATATAATTAGGGAAGGCTATTTAAGAGAATGCAAGTCTCTATAGCCCTGCTGTTTGACGCTGTCGCACTTGAAGTTGTTATGTCTCATACATTTTGCTGCCTTAAATCCGTTTGCTCCAAAATACTTTGAACCAAATCTTTGGAGTCTCTCCCGATACAAGACTGCCCTATTATGAGAGCGCTTACCCGGACTGTTTGTGAGGCAGTTGAAACGCATTAAAGCTCTTCTTCCATTCAACACATTGATTGCTGGTCTCCAGCAAGTTTCAAAACCGCAAACACGTTTTTTTTTTTTTTTAAATGTTACATTAGGTTTACCTGAGAGAGGTGCCAATCTGCATTAACATTAACGCGCCCAAGAAAATGTCAGTGCGCCTTCTGTTGTCAATTACGGTGAAACGTTAGTAGTTTCATATAAATGCCTGACAGTAAATACGACGAATAATACCATACATGTTTTTTATAATCATTCCAGAATCTAGAACGAACGTCGCCGTATTGAAATAGACTGCGATACTTTTGAAAAGACTAAACATACTCAGATATGTGTCAAAAAATAGAACTAAATGGATGACGTGTATGTAAGGGTCCTTCCGACTTCCGGGTGTGTATAAACAGATTGAAAACGGAGTCGCCTCGCCCAAAAGATGTGAGTTTCTGCGCTTTTTTGTGTGTAATTTTCTCTGAATACATTTCATGTTCGTTAGCCAACATGACAGTGCTAATAACCGTGTTTCTGTCCTCTGCATTAGGTCTAAAGTAACGTTCAAAATCACTCTGACGTCGGACCCCCGGCTTCCATACAAAGTGTGAGTACAGCTTTAAGGGTACAGTCGGTTGCTTTTCAGTCTTTAGATTTTTATTTAACATTTAATCTCACCGCTGCAGCAGATATCGGTATTTCGTGCCGTCGTGGAAACCTTTGTTGGTGTGTTTAACTCTGGCTACAGAGAACGTGGTCATAGAGACAACATATGTTAGTGTACAACTGTGATTCACATGCTGATACTGAATACAAATGTCTACTAGCCAACAGCTCCGTTAACTTCCGTTTTACACATGTTATATGTAGTGAAGTTATTATGGCTGGCATTATAGCATTTTTGAGTTCTATTTTGAATGAAATGGACAAGCAGCGTTAAACATCTGGTCTTGTAGTGGTCTTCATTAATATAAAAACACATGTGTCACTGAGCTCTTTATTCTGTGAGTCCTGTGAGATGACAGACAGGAGTCATTGACAAATCCTGCGAAAAATATTATTCATTAAAAACATTTTACCCCTGGACACAAAATGTCTCTGAGCTCACTGTATAGTCAACTGTCAGTGCATGTGTGTACTGGAGGCTTCAGGTTTCACACGTGTGTGTAATGCTTCCAATGTGTGACGTCACAGAATTTCGTCATGATCTACAAGTGTCTTAAAATCAGATTTAAGTGGCACACAGAAAAAAAACTTTCCCATTCAGTAGATTTATTTGATGAATGCCTTTTTAAACTCAAACTCTGCACTTTTCAACAACATTTTTTTGATCGGATGTGTCTTTTGCAGTTGCTTTAAAATACAATTACTCTCTTTTCACGTCACTCCAGATTAAGTAAATTACTTTAGTTTCCTGCTAGTGAGAACAGTGTGTATAGGACCCTAGGATGTGGAGCTCATATCCAATGAGAAGTGCCACATGTTGTGCAGTATGAAGTAACTGTCACACATGCTTCGCACTCATCTGTCTATAATTTTATCTTTTACTTTCCATCGTGTTTTTTTGTGGATAATCACTGTGGGAATTCCAAATGTAGATTTTTTTTTTTGCAGTTGAGTTATATTGATGACTTACACTGTGTGTGTGTGTGTGTGTGTGTGAGTGAGAGAGAGAGAGAGAGAGATTTGGGAGGAATTAGTATTAAATGACGTGTACAACTCTGTCATAGCTGCTATACTACTTTAGAAAGGTCTGATTTTCTTTCCACATTTTTTTGTTCTAAAGCACAAAAACACTCTTCTGATGATTTATTTAGCAAATTATATGATGCTAAGTGTTAGCAATGGGTTTTTAAGTTCTTGTTTTTTTGCATTGTGTTGTAATTTTCATATTTTGGATCTCTTGAATTTGTTAAGTATGATGCTGAATGAGCCACGTTGTTGCAGGAAACAGCATATCTGCCTGATATTGTCGAGAGATGGAAATTGGGCTCAAAATGCCGACTGAAGCATCTCTTTGTCCCCTATGCCACATAATGCATGGTCTAATTTCCTAACTTCTGTACTTCCTTAGTTGGCGACTGCATCTCTAGGCTTGCAAGTTTTTTTTTTTTTTCTTTTTTACCCAACATCTCAGAATATATGTCTGATTTCTGTTTTGTATTGTAACTATTTATACCTTAAATGGTTTTGTATCCTCTGACAAAAATGACTCTGACAGAAGTTAATGTTACACTAAATTGAGCCCTGTTCGGAAGTGTTGCTTTTGTTCTCCTCCTCTCCATGGAGGTCAACATAAATGGTGTAAGTGGCTTGCTCCACAGCACTAAAGCAGTCCAAGCACCTGTCAATGGAAGCTCAGGTCAAACGTTTAAGAGATGATATTTAATCCTGTGGTACTCGTGTTTTACAAATTAAAAAGTAAAACAATGGGGGGTAAAGTAAAGGCTGGGTTTTAGGGTGTTTTTAAAATCCTGTTTAATGCGTTGTTTATTTTTTTACAGACTAAGTGTCCCCGACAGCACACCATTCACAGCAGTTTTGAAGTTTGCAGCTGAGGAGGTAAGTTTGTGCTATTCTATTAATATGTCTAGTCATCAACAGGAAGTGATACGTGAACTGGATCCAGTATAAAAACTAACGGTAGTCTATGATATTGTTTTCATGTGGGACTGCACTGCACAACTTTCATTTAGCCTTAGTGTCCAATAGATTTATATGGAGATGTGGTATATATGCTAATGTTTATTTTCAGATAAGAAAACACTGACATACAATCACAACAAGACTCGGCATCAACTTAAAAGGTGGAATCTTAGAAGGAAAAGGAAGGAAAAATCATATGTACTAGTGGGCACCCTCTAAATATAGAAGTATGTTCTCCTCCTATGCATACACAGGAGGATGTGTCAATACATTCTACAAACTCATGTTATTTACATGCACATCCAGTATATGGATTAAGAACGTTTGTTAATGTCTATTATAATGTGAGAAACCAATATCGGCAGATAAACGATTCTCTGTTTTTTTTTTTTTGTTTGTTTTTTGGGTTATTAGTATTGGCCTTAAAAGCTATATCGACCAGGCTTTATTTTCTATATGGCAAATCCAGTATCGGCAATTATGCATAACATTTACTAAACTAACAGTCTTAGTACGTTTCAGCCACCCGACTGTCTGGTAGAACAGATTAGCTTATGTGTACATCAGTACAGCTGTCTATACAGGTCATGTAATTCCCCATGTGTCACACACACACACACACACACACACACACACCTTACACACATGACCGAGACCCACAGCCTCTTTTTAGGCAAGCTTCTTCAATTTCACACTCAGCTTAGCAGTGCTGTGGCTGACGGCATACTGACGGAGCACTGGAGCTGCTGCTCATGTGCTGCTTCTACACTGTGTGTACATCAGCTGTTCATTTGCTTCTATTACACCTGTAATTAACAAGGGTGTGTTTTCAGCTTTGCCTTCAGCGATCATGCGTTTCTACAGAGACGTGAAATGTAAATTATCGTATTTAATAATTACCCAACAGTCGGTGATTCAAACCATACTGTATCCTCCAGTTTTATGCTACATGAAAGTGCATCCCTGAGTGTGTTTCATGATTCATGTGTACTGTGCTACCTGGCCAGTAGTTTGGTGAGCAGCATTTCTCTAACCTTATCTCCCCGGTGACAGACTGCTCTCTCCTCCTCACTGCAAATCTCAGCAGCCCACACCGTCCTCTGTCCAACACTGAAGTAGGACATGAATTGTGACCATGCTGACTGATTTTCTTCCAGAAATTCAAGCGTGGCTATCTTTCCCCTGAGGCGCTCTCCTAACTGTGTGTGTGTGTGTGTGTGTGTGTGTGTGTGTGTGTGTGTGTGTGTGTGTGTGTGTGTGTGTGTGTGTGTGTGTGTGTGTGGGGGGTGTGGGTGTGTGTGTGTGTGTGTGGTATGTGCAGGCCTGAATTTGTGTGTCTGTTAAGCATAAAAGTTGGCAAAAGACTGAAAACCAAACGCACTATACACAGCGTTTTCTTTCTGATTGTTACACCAAGTTTGTTTGTGAAGACATCTTAACGGCTCCAATTCTGAAGTTGTCGCCCAACGAAGTCGGTGAATCTGAGTGCGCTGACTCGGTGAAAAAAAGCTTTTTCTTCTTGATGATTTATTCACACCGAGTCTTCAGGCCAAGCAGATTTGGGTTGCAACATGTCTCTGTTTATTCAATAAAAATACTTTAGTGCTGCTGAAGTCTCTTAAATGTCAATGTTGTGGATTTCACTAATGGGGATTTTCTCTTTTACAGTTCAAAGTGCCATCAGCAACCAGTGCGATCATAACAAATGGTGAGTTTAGGGGAAAAGTCTTTGTCTTTTTTTTTTTGTCTCTTCAGCAAAAGGGACATGTTTACCAGCTTGACAGTTATTAGGGACTCTCTTCTCATTCCTTACAGATATGTTTTGAAAACTCAGCTGAGTTTCAAAACTTCAATTACAAGCTGTGAGGATTTTATACAAAATAAATCTTTTAACAGCAGTGTGATGTCGGGGTTCATTACCCCGCTGACATGCCTACTTACTCAAGATCTATAATTTTACACTAAATATTGATTTAAAATTGATTAAAAGTCGGTTCTTCTTAGCAGCGACTTGTTATTAAATATTAATAAAAGGTATTTTATAATGAGCTTCCCTTTTGCATGTTTGTACAGTATTAAAACTGAAAATAACTTTCTTAGCATTCACAGAAACAACAGTCTGAAACGCATGTTACCTGCCAAATCCAAATAAAATGCAGTCTCACAGAGAGGATAGGCGGTATCATCCGTAACATTACACCAGCACCGTGTGGAATTTACGGCAAATGTATCGATGTACTTTGAGTCCTGGTGTTTCAAAGGAGAAAATTGCGGTGTTTTATTCACTTTAAACTCTCAGCAATGTTGGCCATCAATCCATGAGAGTACAAGCAGAGCTCTGTCTCTGCTATTCCTTCTGTTTAAGAGGCATTAAGCGATCTATGACCTGTGTTCATCTACCAGCAGGAACTGCAGGATCTCAGCTCCGAGACCCACACTAACACACACTGACGTATGATTGACACATGAGAGACGAGTTAGCTTCACTTACAACATGATGTAGTGAGGCTGAAAACACAACTCAATTCAAGCAGTTTGAACTTGGAGGGAAAAGGTTTTATTGTGTTACAACTATCCAACAGATGCGTGTCCAAATCAACCCGAGCCAGTAATAAATACAGAAAGAATTCGCTGGATTCACACTTGTGACCACAGTTCTAGTAATCACCTGAACAAATAACAGTAAATGGTCTTTGTGGCGGTTAGAAGGCAAATTGTTGGCTCATTCATTGTTTCCCAATTAAACCATGCGGCGCCGCATCAAATCTGATTATGTTTTAGTTTACCTCTGCTCTGTACGGACAGTGTGAGACAGTCTGCCCGATGTACTTTCTCGTAGAAAGATGACGTGTTTAGGGTGCTGTGGGAATAACGACTGTTGCCAAATAAGATTTAATGTGATTTGTGTTCAAATGTCTGAGATATGTCTGCCATGTCAAATATGAATTTTCGTTTTCATCAGTGCAGAATTAATGGCTGCTCTGTTATCACCCGGATGGAATTGCCTGCTGCTGAGGCACACTCTGATTTATTTATTTTTGATATCATTATGGATAAACTGAGGATATTGTAAATTTAATTTATGTGCTGATGTCATTTGCTTGACAATATTTTGGGTTTACATTGGGTTGTTTTTTCTTTCATGGCTGCCTTGTAGATGGAATAGGAATCAACCCTGCCCAGACAGCAGGTGAGTTTGTTTTTTTTATATACCTCGACAAAAGCCGCTCTAGGGCTTTTCATTTCATTCTAACATATTAAGGTACATGGATACATAAACAACCTTGGGGCTTTTTTTAAGCTCTTTGTCACTTGTCAACGTGCTTTCTTCAAAGTGGAACTTGAATGAAATATGTTTCATAATGCACTTTGGTAATGCTGGAGGCATTGTGTTAATAGTCTGACAGATTCACTTGTGGGTGGTTGCACAGAGAAGGCAGAGAAAAGTAAATTCTGGGGAAAAAAGGCAAAAAACCGCCTTGTTGATGTTTTTAAAATATTTATTTGTAGAGTAACTTCACCCAATCTGTCCCAAACCCAAGGGTGATGTAAGATTGCACCATAATGCAAGGTTACATCACCATTGAGCACGCCTAAACATCCTGCCACATTTATATTGGTGCTAAATAAGCTTGAGTCACTGAAATAGCCCTAATTATCCTGACACGTCTGTGTTTGAGCCGGCCTCATTGTGTTTACTAAAACATGAATGTAGATGCAGTGCGTCGAGAGGCAGTATTTAATGTTGAATACAATTTAAAAATGACCTCTTCCCGGAGGCGAACCAGATGCACCCAGCTGTTTAGTCAGAATTCACTTGGTTTAAGATTCCCACATTATTGCCAGGCCCTGGTGAATCACTTTTCCTCCGTGTCAGCCTCCTCTGTGTTTCCCTGAGGTTCATACTGACTGTGTAATGGATGACTGGGTTTACTGCATAGAGCAGGAGAAGTTAATGCCCGCTTTGACCGAAGGCAGCATTGGGGCTTTTCTGCTAAGAAAGGAAAGAGCGGTGAGCATTCACAACATTCAAGCTGCGTGCTGCCAATAATAGCCTCGGCTCAGACACCTCTGTCAGGTTGCCCTTTTCACCCACTGCAGCCACTCTGCCTCTTGTTCATCGGATTGAGCACACGGTGGAAACTGATCTTGTGTAATTTTACAATCTCTTTTTCTTAACCCGTCTTTATGAGGCCGATAATATACATTTCCTGTGGCATAACAGGAATGAGTTTTAAATTAATTTGCTATCCGTTGTTTTCATCGTGCAGTATTATAAATTATTCAAATGAACTCGCTGTGTGTGTTTTCGCCTAAATCCACCTGTCGTCTCATTAGCTGGCTACCGTTGAGGGACAAATGTGCCGGAAATAATTTAATCCTTCAGTTTAGACACCTCTGAGCATGTCGTGAAACCGTTACATTTAATCCAAATGTTTGTGTAACTACCCGACAGTAAAAGCCCTTTTTAAAGAACACAGATTAATAACTGTGATTTTACGTGGTGCTTTGTCCTGTGTTGCAGGAAACGTGTTTCTTAAACATGGCTCAGAGCTTCGCATCATTCCCAGAGACAGAGTGGGAGGACGAGGAGACTGATGCTGCTTTTCCACGTTGACGACGTAATGACTCACCCGGCAGAATCATAGAACACTTGAGACCCAGGAAACACCTCAGCGTGTGTCATATTCATCTTCTGGCCCACAACTGACAGTGACTCACAGAAGAATGTGTATATTTAAACTTGATGATGAAATGCACACAACCTCGCATGCTCCCTTGCTTCTTCATTCTCAGTTTATTTTTTGTCGGTAAGCGTAGTTTCATCAGAAGATTGGTGTGACATCTTGAGTTTCCAGAGGTACCGAGTCATTAATATACACAAACACAGCAGATGGATCATGGAAATGATTTAGCTGAGATTAACAAACCGATTCAACAGTTCTCGCTTTTGTATCTTTGTAAATGACAATAAATCAATACAACTAACAACAAGAACAACACATGCCTGTATTGCAATGTTTACTTTTGTCTTCATCAGCATTGTGAATATGGTAATATGGGAGGTTCAAATATATGCACAACATGCTTTTAAGGACCATTGTCGTTATATTAAGTGGCTGTTGGTAAATTGTCTGTTAATATATTTTGATATATGATATTTTTTGTCAGGCTATCACAAGATGAATAAAACTTGCATCATGGGTCTGTACTTGTATCGTGGAGCAGCTCCTTCCATAACTCAAGGAACATTTTTCGCTAATGTAAGGAGGACATGCTCATCTGTCAAACGGTGCAGACGTGGATCTTTGCTGCCCTCTGTCAGGTTACACTTTAGCATCAGTTTGTACTCTCCAAAATGCCTTGTCTCTGTATTTCAAGCCATGTATTAGGCCTCATCGCACAATACATCTAAAAAGACTACATTGAGTAATGGAGAGAATAGTAGAACTATTTAATATGCACTGCTAGCTTAATTAGGAGCTGAGGAGCAGGTGGTGAGAAAACAAGGCAGGCATCCAAAAAGCTTTGATTTAAATGTGGAGGCCCCAGAATGTGTCACAATGGCTATCAATAGCTGTTCATCCCACACCACCACAAACATAGGTTTTCATCTGGAAATAAATTCACTGTTTAATTGCAAATGTTGGTCCTGTGTCTTTTCTTATAGCAGGATGTGCTTCCAATTTGAAAAATCAGTAAATAGAAAAACTACCTTCATATTAGGTCTCAAAATGATTATCATCCTAAACAAAATCATGACCAATGGGTAGACCAGTAGTTTGTTCTGAAATGTGCGTCATTGTTTCTCTGACTGATTAATGAGGAACGTGGCTTATTATCCTCTTCGCATTAATCAGCTTTATCGGAGAAGGTCTGAGTCATTTGTTTCTGATTTGGTTCCCTTTCTCCACCTCGGAAAAACAAAAACGCATACTTGGTAAAGAAAAAATAGGCTAGAGAGAATAATGGAGCGTGCATGCTGTAATGCAAAAGAGAAAGCACACCGTTGTGTGCACCATCCATTAAGATGCAGACTCAGATGGGGCGAGGGGGGGGCTGGAGTGCCATCACAAATGGATTTTCTCATTTATTTTAATCAAAGTCCCTGCAGGGTACATTCACCAGAGATTTACTCCTGAAATGGGAAAAGACCACACAGTGCCCTGGATGCAGCAGATGTAATCCTCTGTATTGCAGTGTTGGCCTTAAAACATTGTAATTGTTGCAGTTGATTGCAAAATATTACAAATATAAGCACTATGTGTTCCTGGTTAAATTAAAACTTAAAAATCTTTTCTTTTTTTTCGTCAAGGATGGTTGCTTTCAGGCTAGCATCAATATTTGACATTTGTTATGTGCTCGCTAAGCACACGAATAAAAGATAACATTGATTAATTAAAAGGGGTAAAAATCTGCTCTGATTCTGCGCTCTTTTAGGCATGAAATTAAAATTTCACGCTTAAACATAATGGGTGCTGAATTTTTAATCTTTACAAGCAACAAGGTAGAAAGATGCTTCATAACCCCATTTCAGGTTGAGCCGAGTTCAGGATGAACGGCTCACGGTGTTGCCCAGATGAAGTCCTGACTGGGACTCACACAAGAGAAGAATTTCTTTTGATCCGCCACCGCATCAGCAGCAGAACCATTCCAGGCATCTGCAAGTCCATCGTGGCTCCCAGGGAACATTATGATAAAACAGATCCTGCAGGCGGATGCCACATCATGGTCAGGCTGAGAGTCTCTGCTAAAAACTGGGAGTCCTTTAGTTGAAATGAGGCAATGCAAACAGAAAGGGAGGAGGGGATGTGTGTGTAGCTGTGGGCTGATTCAACATTTGGGATGATATACGGAGGAAAAGAGATGTTCAGTAGCTGGTAAATTGGGTTGCATTGAACTGAGCGTGGGCAGGTCTGTCCTCCACGGCTCTGCACCCTTTTGAATTTATCTCCATAATCAGACACCAGTTTCTCCTTAAATTGCAACAAATATGTCCCCCTCTTCTTCCTGCACCTATGCTTATTCAGACATAGACGCATAAACAGGTAAGAACTTTAGAATGACATACTACCGTTGCTAAACTATATATTTTGCAGTGCAAATCACCTGTTGAAAAATTTGCTTGAGTTGGCGGTTTTATTAAATTTGAAAAATTCACAATGAGCAAACTTGTCGCATTGATTGATTTGTCTTGCGACCAAAGTTGGTCCATACTCCGTCCATGATGAGTCAGAGAATGGTTTGAAGTCTCCAGAATTGTTGTCTGACATGCAGAGAAACAGGAAACAGGATGCTGGCACAGGGATGAGAGTCGTATTGACTGATCGCCGTGGCAGTGCATGAAGCTGGGTGTGTGAGAAGAAGAGATAGAGGAATCAAGACCCACTTGCTATAAAACGGGTTTTCCCATTGACTCCCACTGCTTTATAAATGACACGTTGAGCATGCTCCTTGGCCTCCCATTAAAAGCATCCAACATCTAAAATGAGATCTGGTGGTCCTCCACAGACACAGAGTAGACAAAACCAGCGGCCACAGGTCAGTGAGCCAGACGAAGAAATAGGGAACCAGGGAATGGAAACCGTATCTGACAGCCCATCCAGCTCATTTTCAATTCATTCTCACACATCATCTGTCACTCAAATGCATGAAGCACATGTGTATATGCAGGTGTGTGTGCAAATAGTGTCCCAAATGAGCTGGAACCTCAATCACCACATGCACACAGCCAGGTGGAATCTAACCTCAGGGGAAAAAGCCATTTGAGGCTTGGCATCAAGATTATTTAATTATATGAATGACCTAATTCTGCCCCCTTCTGTCTCGAAATTAGTATGGCAGCAGGAGGGAAACCCCACAGAGGAGCACACACACACACACTGTTGGACCTCTCTGATTCATGTTGTTCTATCTCTTCCTCTGCAGAACATCTACAAATTCATCTTGGTTGAGTATGGATATTTAGGCATCCAGCATGTTTAGATATGCTGGAATTTTCTCTAATTCACCAATGAGGGGTAAACACTCCATATATCTTCGCCAAGAGGAAGATTCTTCCTTATCAAAGATCTGAGCCTCTGATATCCTTCCAGCTAAAGTGAGATAGATGATGTGGCTTTAAAGCAGCATTTTAGGACATCTCTTGGTTTTATGTTTCTTTGTTCTCTACAGCATTTTAGATGCTGTAGATGGATGTACAGAGTTTCCCCTTTTCTGTTTATTTTGAAATGTAAGGCTCTTAGTAATCCACTGAGGTATATTCCTGGTAGTATACTGCTATCAGGTCTCAACATGCAAGAATATAGACAGTCTACAGCCACGCTAGTAGCTCTGTCAGGCAGGGTCAGCAGTGCTATGAGCTAAATGCTAACATTAGCATGCTAACATGCTGATGTTCAGCAGGTGTAATGTTTACCTTCTTCACCATTATTAGTTTAACGTATCAGCATCCTAACATTTTCTAATTTGCGCTAAACAAAGTACAGCCGGAGCGATGGGAAAGACAAAAGTTATGCTGATATTTGGTAATAAACAACAAATGTTGACCTGATGGGGGTGTTAGATGACAAGTCAGAGGGTCACCAAAGTGTGTTTCAAATTTCATGGAAATCCATCCAATAGTTTCACTAAAAACAAAAATGTCAACCTCATAGTTGTGCAAGAAAAGTCAGATTCATCGTCTGGGGACCATGAAAGCCCAAATCATCAGTGGTTGAGATATTTCAGTCTGGACCAAAGTGACGGACAACCAGACTCGCATTACCATACATAAAGCCACAAGAATGGCTAAAAACCACAAACCAAGACAGAGATAGAAGGTAGTTGTGAAGCTTTACACTATACGCTGCACTCCGGGTGCACATCACTGAGACACAATGAGCTGCTGTTGGAAAATGACACTGGCTCAGACTTTTCTCTCTCTCTGTTTTGACCAAGCTTCATGGATATTGCAAAAACAAGCTAAACTCAGCCGGTAGCTGTTGTGTCCTTAGAATACACTCTCTAAGTGGTTTATTAATACTCCCACAAGCCCTTTATACACACTGGTACAGAAAGTTGGTGCAGAGAGAGAAGAGTTACAAAGAACGAGGGGATTATAAAAGATTAGCTCAAGGACTGCCTCAACAGATTTAGGAGACCACTTACCTCAAAGGAGAAAAACTGTTTCGTTCGGCAACTTTCAAATGCTTTTAAAACTTGTAAAGTTTATTATACCTATAAATTAAGACTTTATTTGAATGTAAACTCAGCTATTGCAGTGGATCATATGCCTTCATCTCGAAGAATACATGAGCAAGTTAATTAATGTTAGCAAAACGTATTTACAACAGGTTATTGCTAAATAAGTTAATGAATTCACTTACATTTGCCTATATAACATGATCATTTACTGAAAGTACCTGAATGTTGATGTGTAAACGTTTGCATTTTTGAATCCAGGCTTACCAAGGAGAGTAACCGGTGCTTGAAGCGAAGGTAAACAGTTCCACCACAGAAACACGGTCTGGCCATCTGACAAACAGCGGGGGCCAAGAAGGAGAGAGGTGGTAAGAGGCAGTAGGTCTTTTTCAGTAACTTGACTGAAAAGTCAGAATATCTCGGGCTCTGCGGCTTCAATTTTCACCATTATTTTTAAAATCAGTCTCCTTCGAGTCAACCAACTTTAAACAAGTGCAATACTAAATGGCCAAAAACTTTAAAGTGTATAGTAGAATAGCTTTGTTTCTGTAGGTTAGGCAGCTCTGACCATCTTGAGTCTTCTACATTTAATCCACCCATTTAAGCGATGTTGTATGAAGTACATATCTTATTTAATTGATTAGTCATTCAATCACATTTCAATTTTTTTCAGAAGCCCTTGCTCATCTTTCACTTCCTCACACACTGCAGTGCAAATTCATCCCAGCACATCTATAACCCAGCTGGTGCCACTTTCACAAAGTTTGTCACAGCGAACTCTAATGTGTCTGCTGATAAGATAAAATTGAAGTTGCTGCCCTGAGCAGTCTTCTGTCACCAGTATCTCGCTGGTGCCCTGATGCTAAACGTCCATGCGTGTGTGTGTGTGTGTGTGTGTGTGTGTACAGCAGGTGTTAGTCGACAAGAAACGGCTCATTTGAACAGAGGAAAGAGTTGGAGTAAAGGGAAAGGGTGTATGAACTGTTAAGTCAGATGTGACGGCTTGATTAAGCACTAAGACTCTCTCTCTTCTCTTTAACGGTGCAGCTTTCACACAGTTTCTGTGCAGGATTTTTTCTTATCTTCAAGGTGGACAAAACAAAGAGAGCAAACAGATGCATGTAATGTCAAATGTCAGGGTGAAAATCCTCACTGAATTTAGCTTTCAGAGTGAACATGGATTTTTTTTCGTATGAAGTCTCTGATGCCTTTCTTTAGTGTATCTTTCTTGTAATCTCACATGCACAATGTGGAAACCCTCTGATTCTGATTACCGCTCTCAGCCTTGAGCCATGCAAAACATTTAACAGCCGTGTCGTGATCAGTGGAACTAAATCAGTGCAACACACTAGCATTAGCAAAGAAAATGTTTAGTTCTGATGCTGAAACCGGTGGTTCTCATTTAGCTGTCAAAACAACTTGGTGTGTCAACACTTGAAAATCTTTCACACTTGACTCATGA